TCAATGGACGTGATAGATTGGGGTTTTTTGCATAAGTAATAACATGACTTTGAATGCAATTTGGTGTAAATAACAACAAAGACAACAAAATCGCAAAAGCAATAAGAAACCTTTGAAAAGTTTACAAGTGCTTACTAACACCAAATTCCACGAGAAATCATATAATTACATGATAATGATTTTTTAAAAATGAATGCATCAGAGAAAGTCAACAGACAAACTCTCACTTTAAAACTTTTCACTCATTTTACATATAAAAAAAAAAAATGCGCTCGTTTCCAGCCAATCAAAATCGTGTTATTTTTCTATGTAATTTTAGGGGATAGTTTATGCAATCTTAGGCTTGACGTTTCTTGAGGCTTATTACGTTCCCTCGTCAAAGATAGTCTTTTCTTATGAGTTTTTCATTAGCGATTCTTTTTTATACACATAGTGGAGTTTCGTTGATCAATCACTGGATAGTTGGAGAACTCGAAAAATATATCACAAAAGAGGTTTGACAGGTACTTTAGACCGACCCTGATGTTTCATAATTATAATTTTTCAGCTTTGGCAGTTGCAAAATACAATAATTGCACGCCTCAGGATCGTGATGGCAACTTCCTTTTTTTTTTCTCGGAAAAAAAGATGTCTTATCAATGCGTTTGACCGGTGAAATTTTTCAGAGTGAGCGAGGAATTCCTGTTCTAAAGTTCATTACTGTTTTGGCTCGAAACCAGCTGTTTTACTCGTAGCCATAGCTACAGTGCTGTTATAAAAGAGAGCACCCTTAACTAAAAAACGGCGAGGGAACAAAGAACTTTGCTTCTTGTGCGGTAAGAGTTGATCATATCTAATACACCAACGGGTGATTTGAGTAATATTCTTCGGGGAAAATTCATACTCCTTACGAAATGTGTGTCATTTATGTCTGGCATAACTCTCGAATAAGGGTATGGTAGAATTTTGACGGCAAACTAATTTTTTTGCAAGAAAGCAGGTAATCAAGTCGAAGAATTAGTTTTCGTTTTCCTACGGGTTAATTTTCTGAAACTTTATATGTTTTTTCGTTGAAATATGAAAGCTCTGGTTAACAATATGTTGCTTTACCTATAATTACCAAAAAGTCACCAAGGTTTCATCCTCTTGCGAGATTTGAATGTGTTGTAATTGAACATGGAATTTCTTTTCCTTATGAATACATTTTGCACAAGCGAGGGAGCATTACTTGTTATAGTTTCCTCTTTTACTCTTTGGATCTGTTTTGCCCTTTTGGTCATTGAACTTTTAATTAGATCATGGGAAAACACGCAACGAAATATTTATTTCATAAAAGTGGTGATGAACAGCACCATTAAGTTTTAGGTATTCAACGTGATAAAGGTTTCTTTTTTTTACGGTCAATAAGACTAGATTATTTCCTTCAAAGTTTCCTTTGCATAAGAATCGCTTTTTGTGAGGGAGATTTTTCATGCTTGTACATAAGTTCTTCTTAGGTCGCGTAAATCGTTCGAAATGATCACGAGGACATGATAAAGGGCTCCTAGATATACGTCAAGCATATCAAATTTATCATTCCGCCAAAGCTTAAAGATACTTCAAACCTCAAATACTCGAGTAAAGCTTGTTGAGTAATTTATTTCTGTTCTCACAATTTAAAGTATGAAATGTTTTTTTAAGGAATTTTTAGGCAACATTTTGATATGGATGTAATGTGATTGCTATACGTCTTCATCTAGCACGCAAGTAGTCTTTTTCAGAGAAAGAAGGCTTTTTTATTTCAAAGTAAGCTCTTACAATGTACTCATGTAGTCTGATACTCGATATTTTCAAATTCATCCCAAGGAAAGAAGTATGTCGTGGATATTCCGCAATTTAAGATTCGCACTTTTCGCTTCTGCCATTGAGTTTGTCAAAGCTAATGATCTATGTAGGACAGAAGTAAACATACAAGGAATGGCTCTCAAGCGCTCTGTATTCAAAAGATGGTCAATGGGGGCTCCAAACCTTTGCGATGCCAAATGTGGACAGGAGATCACGTGCCAAAGCTATAACTACAATCGAAAATACCAGATATGTGAACTTAATAACCGCACCAAGGAGGCAAGACCAGAAAATTTCCTTCCGGCCCCCGGATGGTTTTACATTAGAAGACTAGAGGGAAGAGGTATGAAATCAGAAGTCTATCTTTCTGTGTGATTTCTATTTCCTTGATACTCTCCATCTTCCGCCGAACCCGTTCCTTCTCACCTAATAGAACTTAGAATATGAAAAAAATGAAAGATTTAACTTTTTTGCAGTTCCCTTAGGTTCTATCTATGAATTGCCGGCGCTGTCCTGTCAAGAAATAAAAGCAAGTGAAGGTAAACATACTACAAACGGAAAGTATTGGCTCAATTCAACTAGGAAAGGGAAGGCATTAGCGATTTATTGTGACATGATTAATGAAGGTAGGTCCCATAAGTTTTAGTTTGAGTTATTTTATTTTGTAACGAGTTATCAGTATCATGAAAACATTATAAATTATACTGCTATCATTAATATCTTTATCGTAATGTTTGGTTTGGATCAGTCCAGCGTGGATTCCTCTCGTAAGTTTCTCTAACTTACTCTTTAACTTCTCTTTCTTAACTCTAGATATGGATGAATGTAAATCTAACATGAGTGACTGCGACGTGAATGCAGACTGTACCAACACATATGGTTCTTATAACTGCACATGTAAAGTAGGATACACCGGAGATGGACACTTATGTTCAGGTAACTTTGAAGATAATAGTAATATAATAATAATATAGACCGATTTCTATAGCGCATTTCCATGTAAATGCTCTAATGCGCTTTACAACACTGTGCGGGGGACTTTTCCAGACTGACGGCGGCAGTTTACAATTAATAAAGGAGAATTTTTTTCCGATGCCCCCTCCCCCCCTTCCCAGTAAACAGGCCAGTCCACATCACAGTAATCTCGTGATGTGGGTTCTTTAACGTCCCCTGCCGAAATTAACTACAGTTGGACACCGATAACTCGAACTCAGATAATTCGAAGTCCCCGCTAATTCGAAGTAAAATTAATTTCCCTTGGTTTTGCCCCACTTTTCTCAGTGATTTTACCTCGGATAATTCGAAGTCCCCGCTAATTCGAAGTAATTTCTGTTCCCTTAGGTCGGATTTTACCCCGATAATAAGTTACCAGCTGAATAAAAAAGAACAGACTCTATCGGAAATTAGAATATATATTTATGTAATAACAGTTTCGAACATTTCAAAGCTCGTTAATCCCTTTATAATTGTGTAAAACAGTTCGCTGTGCATTAATCCCTTTACTGTATGTGCGGTGCTTTATAAAAGTCATTAAGAGCCAATGCCTATAAAAATCGAGCAAAACTGAAATTTCGCGGCCACAGCCAAATTTTTTTTTTCCACTGACATTTTTACCATAGATAGCTATTGGTAAGTAACTAAACATGAGGTAGTTTGTTTTCAGAAAGGCCGCTTTAATTTAGGAGAAAATCGATAAAATCTGTTTTCGCTGTCGGCGACTTCAAAACAGCCAAAATTTAAGACGAAATGGGTCCGTTCTCAAAACTCACTTGCATGCAAAAGGGAAGAAAGAGAGATGAAATATTTTCTGATGCGTCAGGTCAGAGAAGATGTTGCTTCTAGATTGGTGGTATATATTCCATTTAGCCTTGATCTGAACAGCGAACAATAATATTTTAGAACTGCTTTATTCTTAACCGTAAGAAATTTATAATGTAGCCGAAAGTCGCGATTAATTTTAGGCATGTGCTACATCTTGGTTTGCCCTGAGACTCAATCCAAAGGGTCTTTGAACATTGTATTAAAAGGCATGTAAAAACTGGCTTGGGTAATTTAGTTTGCGCTTCACACGAACTCTCCAAAGTTGAACAAAATTTGGTTGAAATATGAGACATTTGAATATTTGACTGAAACGACTTGTTATTTCTATAAGGGAACGATAACCTTTTTCTTAGCCGAAACCTAACGTATTTCTTAAATACGCTATCGCAATACAAACATTAAATTGAGACAAGGTTTACTGGATTTTTAAATAAATGTTATTGATGTTGCTACCCTCTAAATTAGTTACAATAGAGTTATAAATTGAGTTATAAATTGAGTTATAAATAGAGTTATAAATTAAACCGATAAGGAGTGGAGTTGCGTGACAAACTCCTTCTGTCCGCTTCGGGTGACTGAAAAAAGGGTTTATTCTATTAAAAGAGCAAAAGACGGCATTGTTTATAAATCTCGTAGACTTTTAGACTCTTTGCATCATAACGATTAAATACTTTTAAAAAGATATAGCTGGTAATTTAAATTTACAACAGTCAGTTTTTGACAACTGCGTCAATAAATTAAATATAAACTTAGTGAACTGAAAACACGAAAACTGGTTCAAACCTCTTAAGAACTATGAAAAACACTTGTTCATTTCAATCGATTGTGGGAGGTCAATGTGGTCACGACAAAAGAGACAGGAATAAAGCAAAGGAATGTATTCCATTACTTAGCTGTCAGCGGGATGTTACCGGCCACAACGCGATGTTTGCATTATACGGCATAGATAGTGAAGTTGAGTTGATTCTCGCGAGAGCATCCATCTTCTTCTCTCCCCAAAATATCGCCCAGATGACAGTATGCCCAGCGCATAGAGCATTGCTAAGTATTGGATGGACACGCCGAGTTCCAGACAAGTGTAAAGAGCCTTCAATACTGTCTCATCATAGTGAGGATATCAGCAAAAGGCCAAGAGCAGATGGATATATAACCAAAGCGGGTTCCTATGCAGTGTTACAAGAAACTGGAGTTTTTCTTGCTGTTGGCTCAGAGAATATTTTTTGACGTTCAAGCTATTGTAACCGTGATGGAACTTTGTCCTCAGGCCACTATAAGTCCCTTCTTGACGGAAAAGGCAGCCCGGGAAAGGGATAGCACGGCAGGACGGAAAATTAGTTTGAGAAATAGTGACGCTATCACCTGCTACCCCCGCCTTTTAAAAACTAACCCAGCTCTAATTAAGCAAAGTTTGTCCTCCAACACTGCGGTGAATGGGTCAAATGTACTGCTTATTAATTTACCATTCAGGTCCTTTCTCAATAAGGAGGTTTCTTTTAGATAAACCGTTCAATCCTTCAAGAAGTTGCCCTCAGGCATCCCATCTGCTATGACAGTTAGATACCATTTGCGAACTTGTTGCAGATTCAAAGCTGTCAAGATTTGCAATTATTCAGATGGGGTGTGGACAAAACGTGGGGTAGGCCATGGCCTAAGTAATGGCCTACCCTGTTGCCCACCCTATTGCCTACCGGTGGTCAGATTTTTTTTTAAAGCACAGCATTGCTGCAAACCTTTCAACGTTTTCCTGGGGACTGTCTTACCAAGGGCTTTCTTCTGCTGTTTGGGCGGCTACATTCCGATCAAAATTTCGTAACCTTCTGACATCGACAGTCAAGTTGAAAATATTCATGGCTCAAACCAATGGTCAGTCTGTGCTATGTCACCATTTGTTTTTTGAGGAACAAGCCAATAATTATTTAATTAACTAACTTTAGGACATTTATTTTGAGATATAAAAAGAAAAGAAATATATAAAAAAATTGTTAAATTTGTCAATTACTCTGTGTTATGTCTTTTTGACACAATGTCATGCAATACAGTATCCCATATAAATTTCCTGTCGCACAGAGAACAGCTTATACACCACTTGTATTGTTATGCTACCACACTTCAATAGGAAAAGCGAGTAAAGTTTAGGAAATGTTTATGGGGGCTGCTTGTTGCAAATTCAATACTCTACTGCACTAAAGCGGCACTTAAAAAATTGGCCTGGCACGTACTGTTTGCTTTTTTCCTACTAAGATATGTCACAGTTGTCCGATATAACGTCGTTCATTACATTTTTACACCAGCACTCCACTCTATGTTACCAGCTGGCAGCCTTTATGGATCGTGAAGCCGCCATTTTGGATATCCTCAGCGACCACGTAATATAAGCCCCTCCTCTCCCCTCCCATTAACCTATCGTTATGGTTGAGTGTTTGGGTGGGGAAGACAGAGTTAAGATGTTTTAAGGCTGAGTGCTGTAATATTTGCATCGTTTCGTTCCCTCGGACGTTGAAAATCGTGTTAGTGACTTTTTAGTATACCCTTTTTAAAGGCATAGCATTGTACGCCAGCGTACTCGTTCGACTCTCACTGATTTTGTTTTTATTTTTTTAAAAATCTGACCACCGTTAGGCCATGGGGTAGGCCATGGGGTGGGGCCACAGGGTGGGTCACAAGGTGGGCCATGGCCTGCCCCACGTATTGTCCACGCCCATTCAGATGCTTCGGAATATCTATGAGCACTTTGATATCCCAAAAACCGACATCAAAGTGAAGAGGAAGAGGTTGATTGTGATTTATGCTTACATGACAATTACATGATAATTGCAATTCACTTCTCAATGGACTACCCAACTATATGATTAACAAGCTACAGTCTATACAGAACGCTGCTGCGCGAGTTATTACTATGACAAAGAAATGGGAACATATTACACCTGCATTAAAGAAACTTCATTGGCTACCTGTCAAGTATCGCATTATCTTCAAAATACTTCTACTTGTCTACGTGGCTTAGCTCCAACTTATATTGCTGAACAGTTGCATCAAAGGAATTATGGCTTTCGTGTACTGCGTTTCTCATCACAAATGCTCCAGATGGGGTTCCAAGAACATTTCGAAAAAACTATTGTGACCTTGCCTTCTCCATTGCCGGTCCCAAGCTTTGGAACGATTTACCATAGTCCCTGAAAACATCTGAATCTGTTGCAATTTTCAAGAAGAACCTTAAAACATACTTGTTCAAAGACGCTTTTTAATTTACGATTTTTTATAATTTAATATCTATGTTAATTAGTCTATGAAAGCGCTACGGAGAGCTAGTCGAGCTTAGCGCTATATAAATGAAATGATTATTATTATTATTGTTATTATTATTATTATTATTATTATTATTATTATTATTATTATTATTATTATCATTGATCACCTTTGGCAAATAATGCACCTGTCAGGGGAAACTTTAAATCGCGTTTTTTTAAAACGATATCTGTGATGTGTAAGAACATTTACCGGTCTGAAAGACTTGCCTATAAAGCTCAACCGATAAAAATCGGCATAATAATAGTAAAGAGTGCAGCGCTTTGCAGCTAAAGTCTCTCAGAAAGATCAACTCAGGAGATTGTTGTCAATTGCTTGTTTTAAATTGTGTGAAAAGATTTTAATTTTGTAAGACCCCAGTTTTGTTTTCCTTTTTAATTCAAGCAAAATAGTATTGCGAACATGTCTACAGTCGCAAACTAGAACACTGGTTAAAAAAAAAAAAACGCAAAAAAACAATAAAAAAACCAAAATCAGTTGTTTACGGCTTGATGGACAATTGAAATCTGAAGAAAAGACCGCAAGAGAATTACAAAATGTTCTCTTAAAGTGAAATCGAAAACAACGGAGACACCGTTTTTGCGTCGTTGTTTCTTTACACCCTCCCGGTGGAAATAATTTTGTTCTCTCACGCAACTCTACTGCAACGCTAGAACATAATTAAAGACGAATGTGCTCTTGACTACTGGAGCTTTTACCTGTAAATTATTTTGAGCTTTATGAAAGCTTAAACTTTGAAAGCGTACAAGATGTGGAAGTTGGATCGAAGAAAAAGGATTGTTCGAATCTAATATTTCCGATAAAATGCTCGACTCCTAAAGTTCCCGGGTGAAGTAAGAATTAAGGTTTGTTTCGAGCTCGTTAACATAATTTTGGGAAGAAGAAACAGGGATAACCAGGAAGCAAATTTCCCAGGACAAATTTAAAGTCAACCAGAGAAGAGTAAGACAGTAAGGTTTTTTTTTTTAAACACTAATATTTTAAGTTTATGCGAAGTTAGTTTTCGGCAGTAGCGGCAAGGCGTCGTAAACACCAACAAACCGCTACTTAGGTCTGAAATTTCAACCAAATTTGGTTCAACTTTGGAGAGTTCGTGTGAAGCGCAAACTGAATTACCCAAGCCAGTTTTTACATAAGATTTAGTACAATATTTAAAGACCTTATGACTTGAGTCTCAGGGTAAACCAAGGTGTAGCACATGCCTAAAATTTAAATCGCGACTTTCAGCTAAAATATAAATTTCTTTCGGTTAAGAATAAAGCAGTTCTAAAATATTATTGATCGCTGTTCAAATAACTGCTAAGGTGAATATTTGTCACCGAACTAGAAGTAAAACCGTCCAAGAACTGACGCATCAGAAAATACTTTATCCATCTTCCTTCCCTTCAGCATGCATACGAAATTTTGAGAACGACCCATTTCGTCTTCAATTTTGGCTGTTTTGAAGTCGCCGACAGCAAAAATAGATTTTTTCGATTTTCTCCAAATTGAAGTGGCTTTTCTGAAAACAAACTACATCACGTTTAGTTATGTACCAACCATGGGCAAAAATATCAACGAAAAAAATTTTTCCACTCTGACCGTTGGTTGCTGGATTTTTATAGGCATTTACTCTTAACATTTCGATGTGATGAAAATCCATGTGCCTAAAGAGTTGACGAAAAATCCAATTTTAGTCTTTCAGCTTTGTGAACTCTCTTTCAAGAATTCTGACGTATTTCTTCTCTCCTTCAATCAAAAGTTTGCATGGCACTTGCATCCGTTCACCGTCGCCAAGATTAACAGGCATGCCTGTCACAATAACAGTGCATGAATTTCTATTATCCACTCTCAGAAAATAAAGATTGTTTTAGCGAATCGTCCACTCTTTCCCTTCTTCAGATGTTCAACAATGGTTTCTTGATCTTACATCACACATACGGCATATTTGTCCACTGGGTTATCGGGCTCTCTTCTGGTTGAAAGTTTTTCATTCACTGCTGGTTGCCAGATTTCCTGGTAGTCGTGATATACTTTTATGTAGGAGTTAATCTGAAGCAAAGCAACATTCCTTGGGCAAACCATTATTTAAGCAGAGCTTGATTTAGTAAATTCAAAGTCGGTATCTAGCAGTTGAGTGCATGCGTCTAATGACAAGGACGCGATATGAGTTAACAACACACGCTAAATCACAGTTTTAGCGGAAATGGATCACTTTGTCGGTATCGTTTATCAATTTAGGCGTTTTACCGAGGTGCTAATTGGCATGTATTTCTGTACTGGAGCTTGTGAGGTGATCACACGGCTCTAGAAAATGCAGAATCTACTTCTTCCGATCGACAAGAACAAGCCTATGCCAAACATTACCGTTCTTGATGCAATGGTCCTTCTGACACAGGCCTGGAGCACGGTTTCAAGGGATACTATTCGCAACTGTTTTAGGAAGGGAGACATCGGGGGCAAAGAGCAACAAAGCGCAATCGCTGACGAAGATGACCCATTTAAAATCCTAGAAGAAGATTTCGATGCATTGAGACAGAAAGACGCGGAACTGGCACCGACAGAAGTATTGACTCAAAGGATCCATCAGTTCTAGTGACCCAACAGCCTCATTTGACCTAACCGGCTCAAATGACTGAATTGTCTCAAATGATCCAGCCAGCTAAAATGACGGAATTGCCTCAAAGGACCAAATTGGCTCCAGTGATCTGTTTGAGAGGACTCAATCATTTCAAAGGACATTTACTTTCTGAAACAGCAGAACCTAACATGTGGCCATCGGCGAAAATTACCCAATTAGTGCAAGTGTCCCAGCTGCCTGAAATGACCCAATCCACTTAATGACCCAATAAGCTTAATTTCTTTAAACGATCCAAATGACTCAAATGACTGAATTTCCTCAAATCGCCCAATCATGGTCAATAATCTGA